AGGAGGGGGAGACTGTGCAGGATTCCGCCTATTAATAACTGAGCCGCGGCCAGAGTACAGACTCTTCGTTAGGGATAACTATCCGTGGCAGGACCGATCGAGGCTCTTTAATGCCTTGCCAAAAACGCTGAAAGGAGGGGATTTCATCCTTGCAACATTCAAGAGACGACTGGACAATTGGTTGAGAAAGATCCCGGATTGTCCAGTAATGGGAAACTACCCTCAGCAATTGACAAGCAACAGCATCTTGCATCAGCTGGCCCAAATGAGGGCAAATAGACGGAACACGTCCAACGTTACATCCGGGACACGAGGGCGGGGTGACCTGCCTAGGGACGACTCGGAGACGGCGCATCAGCGTGACCGTGGACTAAGAAGTCCAAAACTCATCATAATCACACCGGATCTAGAGAGGGGTATCCAAGAATTATCTACGTATTCGGCTCCCGTGCCAGATGGGGTCCCTGCAGTATTACTGAAAAAATTTGTCGGTGCACTAAAGGTCCCTCTGACTTTGCTCTGGAAAACATCATTGAGAGAAGGAAATGTTCCAAGTGACCTAAAATTAGGGCTAATTACCCCTATCTACAGAGGAGGCGCAGGAGACAAACCCCAAAATTACAGGCCGGTTACATTAACATCACACGTAATCAAGGTATTTGAGAAGATTGTTACCAGAAGGTTAGTGCATTACATGGAAGACGCTGACCTTTTCAACAGAAGGCAACACGGTTTTAGATGAAATCGTTCCTGTTTGTCTCAGTTACTGGAGCATCACCACCAAATCCTGGCCATGCTGGATGATGAACAATCAGGTCAATTTTGGTGATCACATACCAGCAATAACCGCAAAAGGTAGACGACAGATGGGGTGGATCTGGCGGACGTTCAGAACGAGAGAAGCGGAACCGAAGATCACACTCTTCAGAGCCCTTGTAATACCTATCCTTGAATACTGCTGCCAGCTCTGGACTCCGTTCACACTAGGAGCGATACGGCAACTAGAAGGAGTCCAACGAACTTTTACTTCCAGGATCAGAAGGATGGAGAAGTTCAAATACTGGGAGAGGTTACAGCGACTGGGCCTGTACTCACTGCAGAGGAGACGGGAGAGGTATATCATTCTGTACACATGGAAAATGATACCGGTATGGTGCCAAACATCGAGAGCGAGACCTTCAGGATTAAGACATATCACAACGAGAGAAGGGGAGACTGTGCAAAATCCCTCACTGCGTAACAGATCCGCAGTCAGATTTCCATCCCTGCGTTAAGGATCACTTTCCGTGGCAGGGCCAAGACTGTTCAACGCCCTACCAAGGGATCTAAGAGAGGGGGAGTTCACCCTGGAGACCTTCAAGAGACAACTGGACGTGTTCCTGGGCACAATCCCAGATCGACCTCCCCTGCAACACTACCATCGGCGAGAAGCAAGCAACAACATCGTGCATCAGGTGGGGCGGATGAACGATAATCAGAGGCTGCGATCCATCGTAGCCTCGGACTGCCATGTCCCAAACAAATAATAAGGAATAAGGTCATAAGGTCAAGCTCACTGGCACACCGGACGCTTGCCTCGCCGTCAAATCAAATGATACTAGCCAGAAATTCTTCCCAGTTTAATACGTTCCGTTTACAACACATTATTAAGAAAGCAATGTAAATAATAATTTAATACAAATCAGATACGAAAATCTACAGGCCAGAAGGGAATTTATCTTCAAAAATATGAATATCATTATCTGCAATTTTGGACTGAACTTAATTATTTTCAATACCAATTTTTTATACGAACATATACACTCAAATTGTAAATAAAAGTTCAACGAAGATAAGCATATGGAACTAATTAATAGCAGACATGAATCAACTTTAAATAGCATTAGATTACGATCGCACGGGACCTGCAAAGCCAACCTCAATCATCAACATCTTCGCCGTAATTTCTTTCTTTTCCAAACGTAATTTTAAAACACACACGTCTAACGTTAAGAAATTATTCTGCCTTGAATTTATTGAAAATCACCTATTTATATTTGTTTTAGATGCGATATTGAGATTATTTTTGGTTTTGTTTCGAATCATATAATATATTTAATTCAAATCGATATATTGAGTTTGAAACTGCGTATCGCGTCAAAAAATAAGCTGCCCCAAATCTTCCGGTACATTAAATGCATTAATTCTTCCATTACGGGAATATTTTATTACTTAATATAATGTTGTCTAAATATCTCCTACTTCTGCATCAGAAATAAAAAGTTTGTTGCGACTATGCAAAGATAAGAGGCTTCATATTGAGGAAATTCAGCCGAGAATATTATTTGAAGTTGCAGACTTGAATTGGCTGCTGACAACTATCTGATTCTTTACTTTCATTTCTTCCGTATTTTTCAGCTGAGCCTTCACTCCAGTCAGCTCATTGCATAGCGAGCTCAAATTTTCACTCAACGAGCGCACCATTTCACTCAAGGAGTTTACTCCATCATTCAATGATTTCGACTCATTGTGCTCGTCTACCGGTTTCCCGCTTTTTCGAGCACCAAGAGTTGGTTTCACGCAGTCATATGACGCAACCAATGAAGTAATTTAGTTTCCTGAAGAAATAAGTACTCATCTGAGCTAAACTTTGAACAGCTGATTGATAGAAATGAGCTCCTCGCAACGTTCACAGGTGACGTCTGGTCTGCTTTGTTCACAGAGACCTCTTTGCAGTGCTTGCAAACTTTTATTTCTAACTGAGTTGAATTGATTTTTATTTCTGACTGAACAAGGGGACTTTTCGACTACTTTTTTTCTTCTCTGTCCAGCAATCGTACAATGCTCGGAGAAAAACGCCGGTGTAAATTTGAATTTAGTTTAGTAGAGATAAAGTTCCGTCACAAGAACAGACTAGACGAAGCTATGCAGGAGCATATGTTCAGTCTTAAAATGCCTAGCAAATTACGGACCAGGCAATAATTCCAGCAGCTATCTCAATCAATCGTCAGTTATGGAAAGATCGGGTTCCAAAAGCCGGATCCCTTGTGAATCAAGTCACGAAAAATTCAAGAATCGGCAACAGGCCATGGGCCTATTTCTTCAGTGCCGACACTTCTATTATTCTAATACTCCGACTGGCCCACAGCTGAGCAAGGGATATGCAGAGGTGAGGCTGTATGAGGGAATAAAACTGAGAAAATTTTGAGTTTAAAGTAAAAACGAGTTAAATGGAGAGAAAGATACGAGGTGAAGACTGAGTCTGGCTGAGTAGAGTTTAAATTCCGTCGCAGACACGCAACTCACATATTGGAAGGCGGTGAAATATAGGCCTGTTGTTGTAGGCCGTAGGCTTGTTGGCGATTCTTTGTTGAGAGCAGGGTGGCCCAGTGGTTACAGTTCAGAGTACCAAGATTGGAGCAGAGAGGCGCGGGTTTGATCCCAGCTCTGTGCACCAGTTTCTGGTCAGAAAATGTTGTTCACTGAAGCGGTACACTTTTTTATATTCATGGCATGTAGTTCCTGAGGTCTTTACGCGATGATGCCTTTGCTGTAAGCCAAACAGATCCATAGCTGACGAAGTAAACAAGGTTAAATATACCGTAGTGTAGTCGTGAAGTGCGGTGTGTAGGACACTTCAGATTTTTGTAGTGCGGGTTATGCTTTTGGCCCTATTTAGCATGGCAACCGTAGTGTTCCATGTCATACTAGTACGGCACTACGGCTTGTAGTGCGTAGTGCTACTTCGTAGTGTTAGTGCCCTATTTAGCATACGGGCCATTGGAAGGCGGTGAAATATAGGCCTGTTGTTGTATGCCGTAGGCTTGTTGGCGATTCTTTGTTGAGGGCAGGGTGGCCCAGTGGTTACAGTTCAGAGTACCAAGATTGGAGCAGAGAGGCGCGGGTTTGATCCCAGCTCTGTGCACCAGTTTCTGGTCAGAATCTGCGAGGAGGCCGGACGGCTAAGCACAGCAGAATTGAAGCAGTGAGTTGCGAGTTTGAGACCGCAAAATGCTGTAAATGTTATGCGATGTTAAGAATGGGCGACAGGCCTACGGCCTACTAAACGCTGAAACCGCTATAACCGTTATTAACATCGCAGAATATTCACAGCTTGTTGCGGTCTCGAAGGCGCATCTCACTGCTTCAATTTTGCTTTTGCTTAACCGCCCGGCCTCCTTGTCGATTCTGACCAGATCTGGCGCACAGATCTGAGGTCGAACCCGCACCTTCCTGCCCCAACCCTGATACTCTGAACTTTAACCACTGGGCCATATACAACTATACTCATGGTTCGTACAAGGACCGAGAAGGATTACTCGAATTTAAAACAAGAAGCAATACCAGGGGCCACGGCTGCAAACTCGAAAAACTGCGGTGCAACTCATCCATGCGGCAACTCTTCTACTCGCTTCGAGTCACCGACATGTGGAACAGTCTCCCTGATTATCATTACATCATTGACACTCCGACTATGAAGTATGAATGCGTTCGAGAATTCTAGACCAATTTAGGCAGAGGTATCTGTTCAGAATAGATAAGCCTAGTACCTTAAAGAACTGTTAAAGTAATGTAGCTATTTCCAAACAAACGGCAATTTTGACAATATCGGGTCAAAAGGCCGATTTTTAGATCCTCGGTGAACCAAGCTCGAGAAGTACTAGAATAGGCGACAGGCTACGGGGATAATAATGACTAATACAGTAATGCTACTGCACGCAATCGACTTGATTTGATTGCAATTATCATTTATACACGCGGGGAAGTGAGGAGGCAACAGCTTGATTGGTCGTTGGGGTTTCGTCATGACCAAGTTTATGAACTGCCAAGAATAATAATTCCAACAATGCATTTTTAAGTTCTTCGCTGCCGCTAGATATCACTCCTCGAAAGATATTGTCTTGTGTAAAATTATTTCGAGCTAAGTTATAGTGGGTGCTTATTTGTGAATGAGTCTTACTCAATCCCATGACTGTCATTCTATACTATTAAAAAATTCTTACATTGTCATACCGCTAACTTCGAGACTGAGACCTGTCAGTGCTGAGGAGCCTCACCGTGATGATGGCAGCATCTGTTCGAGTATTGAATCGACTTGCCGGTAAGTTAAGTTCTTTAAAATTAAACTCTCATTGTTTTTGGATCTTGCTATGAAAAAGCTCCCTAGTCGTTACTGAGGTACGTATTCTTAACAAGAACATATCTGAGGTGTGTATTCATAACAAGGTTAATTGAATGAAGAATGCAAACAAGTGTCAAGTTAGGTCTATTTAAATAATTTTTTATGAATTACAATTCAATGTAATAAAAAACATTGCGTTTTATTAACTAGGATATACTAGGACAGTAGGACTAGGAGGCATTTTCTTAACAAGGTCATACTGTGGTGCTCATTCTTAACAAGGTCATACTGGGGTGCTCATTCTTAACAAGGTCATACTGGGTGCTCAGTCAGTCATTCTTAATATCTTATAACAATAACAAGGTCATAGGCTAGCTAGCCTAGTGAATCATGATAGGCTACTGCAGTCAGTGCAGTGGGCTGTGGCCTGTGGGGTGCTTACCTACCTAGGAACACTAACGAATATTGAACACTTCTTAATTACGTTTTAATTAACAACTAGGTATTGGGCTTTTAATTAAGCAAATTTCAATTTTTGTACAAAATACCACATTTACCCTAGACCCTAGTGCATAGTTGCGGTCATGTCAGAGTCTGATTTATAGTCCTAGCCAATTTTCTATTGTAAAAAAATGAGGAAAAAATAGCACTTTATTCCTATAAGTAGACCAGCAAAGTAGCATTGATACCAGCATTATCATACATAATATATTGGTTCAAATCTTGAGTAGATGTGGAAATTAAATATGATTGATTCCAAAAATCTGGTTGGCCACTATGATCCAGAATATCTTATTCAGACCAAATTTAGCAAAAACTGCTGGTAAAAAGAATTATTTTATAGATGATTACTAAAAATTGCCGGTAAAAATATGTTCCAGTATAATGCAGATAGTAACTTATAGAATTTTTATTTAAGAAATCATTCATGTTTACAAGTTAGAAGGTGCCTTGTGCTCAAACTATACCATGCTTAAGCATATGGTAGATATATTATGGTTTATTGTATTAGATGACTCTTCTTCACAACTGCGGAATGAGGTCACCCTTCCCTTAAGGCAGAAGTTTGCTAATTTCTTGGTATCAACCCCTTATATACCGCTTGCTGGCATCGACTATATATAACTTATTAGCTGCCACTTGAGCTCTCCTACCATTTTCTGTGCTGCAAGATTCCTGCTAGATCAATTATCTCCTATAATACTATCAAAATGTTAACAAATCTTAAAATCTGGCTGTGAGATTACAAATGTATAAAAATTGGTCACTTCAGAGCCATGAGATTTCATTCAAAAGTAGGAAAATTCCACTCTAGAACCCCTGGAGGTCATTGGCAGAATTTGGTTTAGTTTTGTTATTATGTAGTAGGTACTTGATGCAGGTGCCTTGGGGCCTTATTGTAAAGGAACTTTCTGTTGAGTCTAGTGAGACGATTTTATTCTTTCTATTAAAAAGTGTAAAGTTTGAAATTTTCCAGAACATACCAACTGAATTGAAACTTACCTGTATTTATTTAGGCTTAATTATCTTAGGGATTTTTTTACTTTTCATACCTCAGATACTAGAATACTATTGATTTGTTTACATAACAAATTTTTTATCTACATAAATATTTTTAATTAATTTATTCCATTTTGAAATTTATCTTAAATTTAAGGCATTGAATTTATTTTGAAATTTAGTTATCAATTATGGTACTACTACCTAGGAAAAATTTTGTCTTGGAAATTCATTGGCAATTTGAGTTAAGATTACTGCTGCAACCTAATGCAACAACTGTAGCTTTTTCTTGAACAAGTACTGATTTATTGAATAACTTTTTACAGCTAATGTGTGCATCCAGAGTTCACGCTCCTGCTACTCCAGCACCCGGTCCAAGCTTGCTATAAATGAAAAGACCAAAGTCATTTGCCAAGGTTTCACTGGGAAACAGGGGACTTTTCACAGCAGACAGGTGAGCATGTGCAAGATTACATTTACTCTTTGTTAACCAATGCATTGAGGTTCATAGATGAAAAAAAATGTCATGGTTAATTGACATAGCTTGCCCATTCTAATACAAAAAGTTCACTATGTGTACAATCACACACTAACTCATGTCAACAAGTATAGAAGATTGGAGAACTTGTTCAAATTTTAGGATGGCTACTATTGTAACTTGGGTTCTTGTTGCTTCATCAAACTTTATCAGAGTTTTTTTTATTTTATTAATATATCTGTGTTGTTCCAGGCCATTGAATATGGAACTCTCATGGTCGGTGGCGTGTCTCCTGGCAAAGGCGGTCATAAGCATCTCAACTTGCCCGTCTTCAACTCTGTTGCTGAGGCCAAGGCTGAGACTGGTTAGAGCCAAAGCCAGAGTTTGTTCAATGCCAAACCATTCATATTTTCTGTTTCAAGAGTTTGACTGAAAATTAAACTTAGAGAATGTAGAATCAGTGTGGTAACAATGCTACGAAAAAATAATGCCCCACAAATTTTCCTATAATCTTGCATAGCTACCTCAGAGAGAAAATTTTTTTCTCAACCAGACTATTGTAATCACCTTCAGAAGGAATTGAAAATCTAAACATTCTATGATTTAAATCTCGTTTGAAGTTGATGATATCATTCAGATTTTACACTTAGCTTTCAGTATTTCTATTAAATTTTTGTTATATGAGCAGGCGCCGATACGACCGTGATTTACGTGCCTCCTCCTGGCGCAGCAAAGGCTATAATGGAAGCTGTAGATGCTGAGATGGGTTTGATCGTGTGCATCACGGAGGGCATCCCTCAGCAGGATATGGTCCGTGTCAAGCATAGGCTTCTCAGGCAAAACAAAAGCCGCCTCATCGGCCCCAACTGTCCTGGCATCATAGCTCCTGAGAAGGTTCGTTCTAGTTACATAACCAGTTGGTCAAAATAGGATTTCTTAGTTTTTAAAACTCGGAAATAAATAGTACCTAGTTAGTACTTCTAAATAGGTGTACAAAAGGTTCAGCTATTGTAAGAAGTTGATGATATTTATTCTTTGAATGTATGGAAGTTTTGTTCAAGTATTCTGTTCATTTTGCGTTGATATTTTAGGTTTTTATGTTAAGATTAAAATGTTGAAAGAAATCTTATTAAATTATTAAAAATGAAGTCTAGTTTTTGACTAGGAAAATTTCTGTCAGATCATAGGTATGCAGATGATGCATGTATGTGTATTGAAATTTGCTGCTGCTCACTGTGTTCTACTTTCCTTTTTTTTTTCAACCTGCATGATCAAAAATTAAATTCTCATCATAATTTCAATCGGTAATTAATTCATTTAAATTTAATGAACTCTTGATTAAAATCAAATTTCTGGCCCTTTTCACGAACATTTTGCTGAGAGTAAGCGTTAAGAAGCCTTGCTAATCACTATGCTTTCCATAAAATTATCGTTTTCACTTTTGTTGGTACCTTAATGGCCTTTATCTTGGAACAAATTTTCAACCAAGTTCGTGGTGAATGAAAGATACATAATAAACGATACTCGTGTTTGTTGAAAAGTTTCTCGTGTATATTTTTACAGTGCAAGATTGGCATCATGCCTGGCCACATCCACAAAGCAGGCTGCGTGGGGATCGTATCGAGATCTGGAACCCTTACTTATGAGGCAGTGCATCAGACTACACAGGTCGTGAATTTATTTTACTTCTTAATTTGAAATGTTTGTATGTTGTATTTACTATACTTTTTGTATGTCATTGAAGCTTCTGTTCTTCGTTCTGTGATACAATTATGTTGAATGTTGTGCCATAATCTACTCCAGTTTCTTTACAGAACTTTAGAATTTGGTCAATTTTTTTTTACAATAATAATTTTAAATTATTTGCTCATCATTATGCTTCCCTTCCAGAAATTCTCACTCATCAATCTTTCATGAGAACTGTCATTAATCCGATTGATCGCTCTAGGCTACCTATTGTAATTCATAATGGAATGTTTTTCTCTATGTTCCATTTGAACAAATGCTTAATCGTATTAGTATAATGAACCTGGGAAGAAACTTCATGAGCATTTCATTTACATTGCAGTTGAACTTTGAAGGTTCCTGGTCATTTCGCTGGACTAATGCACATCTTTCCTATGATTGATTTGTTATTTAGAATGCAAGGTGTTTGTCATTTCAGTGAATAAACCTTATCGGTTTGGTACTTGGGTCACATTCATATTGAACGTTTGATTGATTGTGCAGGTTGGCTTGGGCCAGACTTTGTGCATCGGCATCGGAGGCGATCCTTTCAACGGAACAAACTTCATTGATTGCCTTGAAACTTTCCTCAGGGTTGGTTTTAATATTTTAATTTTTTTTAGTTATGTTAATTTCGTTTTTTGAATTTTGCATTAAATAAATCGTTTGTTTACTTGCTCTTGGACCTGAATGCTGAGGTTCAAATATTTGTAAAAAATGCAAAGAATTCATAGTGTTATTGAGTTGCAATTTTTAATATCTGACACTGTAAATAATGATACTTTTGGAAAAAGATATAAAAATACATGAAAAGAAAACAAAAATTCAATTGATTTTTGATAAAGGGAAAAAAATTACTCTTGCGTTCTTAGGAACACGTACGTACGAATGTCTCGTGAACTTCTCACTGCTTTGTATTGGGTTCAGCGTGACTTATGTGTCAGTAAAAGTCAGACGTTCTCATACTCTTTTGTGCCATCATAATTAATATTGTATCTACAATTTATGCATATGGATTCAAACGATTTATTAATATTTGCCTGCGTGGCTCTCGCCCTAAGTGGAATTAGAGGTTTTGTTCTTCAAAATTGTATAAATAATCTTCCCAAGTTTGAAAATTTTCAGTTTGTTTAATTAATTTCATTCACAGGATCCCAACACGAAGGGAATCATCTTGATCGGTGAGATCGGTGGCGGCGCGGAGGAGGCCGCGGCGGAGTACCTGAAGGAGCACAACTCTGGCGCTAACGCCAAGCCCGTCGTGTCGTTCATCGCCGGCGTCACGGCGCCCCCTGGCAGGAGAATGGGGCACGCTGGAGCCATCATCTCGGGGGGCAAGGGTGGCGCCGAGGATAAAATCAAGTCCCTCGAGCGTGTAAGTTCCTTCACCCGAGATTATATATTAATATTTAGGTTTTGAAGCAGAAGTAAATTGATTTTCCAGCATCAAATTATAGGCAATAAGCTCTTAAAATACACAAGTAAATTAGGAATTTGCGTCTTTTACTTTGCTTTTTTCTTAACAATGCCTGGTAATTACGAATACAATTTTTAAATTTATTTTTTAGAGCTAGCAGTAAGTTAAAAATTTTTCATGAATTTCTGTACTTGTGTACGTTTAAAAGTATCCCAGACTTGATTTTCCTCATGGCTACTGGATAATCCAAGAGCCTTCTTAAGAATAATCATTACTAAGAGTTGGATATTATTATTTCGTAGGCTGAGGCTCTATAGCTAAAATTTACTTAATTTTAATTACGATATGTAAACACAGTTCATTTCTCGTACCTGATATTGCTACATTGCAGTTCGATCTTTGTCTCTCGGATGTAGTCTTTTGAATTTGTAGCTAGTCCTCAGGCCGTTGCGAAATTTGCAGTTAGCTAATTTTTGAAAAGAAGTGCCTTTCAAATCGAGCTGATGGAAATCGCCTTCGAAGGGGAACCCGTATCTATTGTTAACTGGGCCTCCTGCCCGACACACATTTAATAATGGTTCGTATTGAAATAAATATGCTTTTGATAAAGATGGGGGTTCATACCTGATAAGTCTAAGGATTTTACCAGCAGCATATGTGATCTGCAGCAATCGTTTTCTTACGCAGGCTGGAGTTTTGGTTTCACGAAGCCCCGCGCAAATGGGAACCCTTCTTCTGCAGGAGATGAAGAATCGAGGCCTGGCTTAAATTTGTTAGCCGCCCTGCGACGTCGTTTGCAGTGGCGTCGTGTACTGATTCTTGATGGTCTACTTGCTGTAAAAAAGAGCGCCAAAACAGCACGGGCGAATTGATGTTTTTTTTTTTTTTGCGGCTGCCATGTTTTAGTAGGATTATGAGAATTGTCACACCGAATGCCCTGTAATTTTTCACTTAGTCACCGGTGTTCGTCTTGATGTTTGCTAAGAACAGTTTCAGGTCAAAATTATTTGTAACTTTTTTATCATACTCACTGATTCATGAGAATAAATAAATACTTTTCAAAATGATTCGATTTCTATATATTTTTTTTTTCATCAGCATATTTATGTTGAGAAATTGGTCGAACTTGGATGGATGTTTTTTTTTTAATTCTGTTGGCCATTTATAGCGTTTTTTTTTCCTAATGAACGTTTCGCATTCGTTGCATTTGAAATATCGCGGCCTTTTTATGTTAATTTCGCAACTTATTCGGCAAATGGCAGTGACTTGACAATTTTTTTTGCCCATGTAGAAGTGACATGAAGTTATCTATCATACCTAACTATTAACATTCAAGGTATTGAACTTGTTTCTTGTATAATTCTAATGTTAATTTTCTTATGACGTGAATAGCGAGGCCGTGTGCTAGATTATTATATCAACGTGATTATTAGCTTGAGTCTCCGCCAGATGTAAATAATGACAAGTGGCATAATTAGGGGGTTTTAAATAATTATTATTAGGTGTCATGGCGTTTCATCTTTCTCTTTTGTACTAGACGCGCTTCCTGTTTGTTAGGTTTGCGCTTGTAAAAGAGAGTCGAATCCATTTTAATAAATTTTATTAACCTTGATTCTTGCAAAGTTTAAAGAGTCGAATTTCCTAAACTTGAAAATCCATAAACGAATGAATTATCTTGGAATCTGGAAAAGAATGTTCTTTATTGTACGTTATAAATCCAGTCACGTGTTAATTATTACAACACTTCTCTTTAACTTCACTTCTTGTTTGTCTGTCTGTCTGTCTGCTACAAATCTTATAATCGATATTTAACACGCTTCTACCTGTCCAATCGATTTGAAATTTGGCCCAATTGCGTAAAGTTGGAGACAATGCATGAATCAATTGACAGAATAAATAATTTTATAAATAAATAATTTTTTTTTTCAATATTAAAAAGAATGAAAAAAAAAATTTCGTCTCCTACAAATCTTATAATCAATATATGACACAATTTGACCTGTCCAATTGATCTGAAATTTTGCACAATTGCATAAAGTCAGAGACAATGCATGAATCAATTGACAGAATGAATAATTTTTAAAATTTACAAAATTTTGATATCTTAAAAAAATTTGAATAATTTTTTTTTTAATATTTGAAAATGAAATTAGAAATTCAATGTACATGTGTATTATCCAAGATACTGGATTGTTCAGAAGTGTTGTCTTTAAAAAACAATTTTTAAACGCATATTATTTTATAACGTACATAAATCCTGTTTATAGGTTGAAGCGAATTTATCGCGGACGAAGTGTCTTGAAAGCTGTGCCAATGCTTTTGAGGTAAAACAGGAAAGCGTGGCCGAACTGGTAGGAACTTGGGAATATACGAGTATCACAATATTATTTCAATACTGTTCAAACATTGTCACTTTATGTTTAGTTATTTGATCATTATTGACTCTAAACTCCCCAGCTGTACAAAGTCGTAGCATACGAGTTTAACCAATGCTGACTTTATTAAGACGTAAATCTACTGTAGGATGATGAACCTTCCCGGAAATCACTGAGGAAGTTGCCAAAAAACGAGAAGATTGTGGCATTACATTCCTCATAAACCGTTTGTCATTCAACACTCTCACAAGTGAACGCAATGGACCTCGTCTCAAACGAAAAATTTGTAATAAAAAAGTGTCGACAACCTTGAAATTTTAATCTTGCTGAAGCTACGTAGGAACATAGGAGGAACGTTTCGCTGAGCCGATGAGAGCCAAATAGAACTGCACCAAAGACTAGCACAGAGGGTTGTTAAAAGGTGGTACAATACGGTGGACGTCAGAGAGAAGCAGAAAACTTCTGCAGTAATTGCTAATAATCCCACCTACGTAACATCGTAAACGTACTACTAAGTCAAGCAGGAAGACACTACAATTCTTCAGGTCTTTCAAAAAGAGGATTAAGTCAGAATTATATTCTGAGATTATTTTATGAAGCTGTTGGCGCTACATTATTCAACTGAATATTACAATTTTTAAGTAAGAAACATGAATCTCTCAAAATTGTTTACAAGATGGAGATTTAAACTGAAATTAGGAACTCACGAACTAAAAATGTGTCCAGCATTGAAATTTATAGATTTTCGAAAAAAATGTTCTTGTAAATTGAATTCAATTTATTAAAATACTGATTCGTAATGATTTGCGTTAATCACGGTGATCCTGGTCACTCAGTGGATAAAAATTATAACATTTTTGGTGAGTCAAACCGAACAAACTAGCTGTATTTATTTCACTGAACTACAAATCATACCTCGTGAACTACGAATATCTGTTTATAGTGAAATTTTCTTCAAATTTACCAATGTAACGAATTTATTGAAAGCAAGTGAGAATAAATTCTGAAATATTTCCAATGACTATAAAGTAGGCTAGGCGGCACGATTACAAAAAAAGCCTTGGGATTGATTGTGGACATTTGCAATTCAACATTAACCAATAATCCGTCACCAATGCGTTGACAAAAAAAAACGGATGTTAAGTCCTAACGAGTGTAACGACTACTAATGAGTGAAAGGTAACGAAGTGTTATGGTGGTTAAATTTCGAAAAAATAACTGAAATATCTGTTTAATTATGGAATAGATGCATAAAGAATATTTTCTCCTAGTCGTAGAAATCGTCGGAGTTTGATTAGAAATAGAGAATCTCTGAATCAAAATTCTCATTCTGACGACCTTGGTGTTGTGCCAGCTTTGTGTTCGACGCGTAAGGGATAACTCCCGCAGTCCCGCTATTAGAACGGATTGGCATATAAAATGATGGCACTTCAGAAGTTCAGATGATTTGTGTTGAAAAAGTGGTATTATTGCAGATTAACTACATCCAAAAAAAAGGGTGTTTTTTTTTAATTATATGTTTTTTGGGGTGTAGATTAAAAATGGATTTCAGATTCGTAATCTACACCCCAAAAAACATATAATTAAAAAAAAAACACCCTTTTTTTTGGATGTAGTTAATCTGCAATAATACCGAAAAAGTATCGTGAAATCAGGTTTTTGTCAGTACCCGTTCGTAAACTTATCCAAAGTGAAGAATAATTGCTTGAAGAAGTTGAAGAGCTACTCTACCGGTAGTTCTGTGTCTTACTTAGACTTATCAAGTGGTTCTCAAATTAAAATAAAGTGATCTTGTGAGTTATTTAACATGGTGGCATATCTTAATTACATCTACTTAAAGTTAGTGTCTGTTGGCTGTGCTACGGATCTTCCCGGTTTGATCGAACAAGATGAGCATTGCCTCTGCCCTCTTGAAATGCCTCGTAGCTATCCTACGGAACAACTGAAATCTAGAAGCGATTTTAAACCTACCGTCCGTTGAAAATATTTGATCAAAAGGCCGGTCTAGTCAAGAAAAGTACAGGAATCGGCGACAGGCCTACTCTTCAATGCCGAAGATACTACGTATACTATACTACTTAGATACTATACTACTATACTATACTTTGAGCAGTGTCGAGAGCGTTCGTGCTAAATCTTCTCAGTCGACTGCTGTGCTGTACCTAGTGCAGTAGTGCTAATAGCCGTTGAATCTTTTGGATTCGGATTCTGCCACTGAGAACAACGAACTTACAAAGGTAAGTGGTTATTTCGTCGTATGTGTGATCTAAATGCCAATCTAGAATGCATGCTATTTTTGTCATAATAGACTGGAAGAATATCATGAATGATTCGATTCTTCTCATTTCGATGCTTTGACAACTTTCACCGTGTGTGACATAGTGTAAAAAGACGTCAATTAAAAGTGCTGTGTGGGACATTCCTGAACCACATTTGTTTAACATGTTGAGTGCGGCCCGACTCACCGCCACCAGGGTTGCCAGATCGAATAAAAACTGTCAAGTCTGCGGACATGAAAATGATAAAAGGCCTATAATTCAATATTTACTAGTAAATTTGCGAGTTCCGGTGCAAAAATGAAATTTTCCTTTTTAGCGCATTTTCTCATTTATGGAAAAAATGCACTATTGTGCTCGCCATGTCCGTCTGTCCGTCCGTCTGTCTGTCTATCTGTCCGTCCGTGACTTCACGTTTTCGTCGACGAGAAAGTGCGCTCTCTGTCACTCACTGCAGTGAGTACTGAGTCGTATTTTTTTAGTACTTTTACAAATTTGATAAGGAAGTACCGACATCATAAATTTTTATCGGCAAACGCAATTAAAAAAACTACATCAAGGAATTTCTCTGAAAGAAAAGACCTTGCAACCACCGGGGGGTCGTACCGCACTCAACGTGCTAAATTACTTTTAATCGTGTTGCCAAATTTATTTTGAATTTTTTGAATTGTGAAGTCGTATATGTAATTTTATGTCCTTCGAAAGGGTCATTGTAACCTTTCTTTTTATATGTTCAATTTTCTTGTTTGTTTGTGCGCAATACCTGGAATTTCACGACTTATAATAGCCACTAAGGAAAAGAGATAGACTGGAGGCTTTCTTTGTACGAACTTTGTCCACTCTCATTGTTCAGTTTAAGCAATCCTATAGTTACACCTTCCGCGGATATGCTGCTATTTTCTAAAGACGTCCGATGCGCTACTCTAGTTGTCTAGGTATTAGAGTTCATGAACTTCATTTAAAATATGATACTATAGTCATGTACGTTTAGCCTATAACTGACATCTTTAAAACGTCCGTTTCAGGTTTTGCCAAGCCCGAAAACTGGCATTTAGTTTTTGTTTTGCTTTACGTTCGAAGTTTACCGCGGTTTCTAATTTTCAGCTAAGGCCGAAGTGTCTTGCGTCAATTTGTCTTCATCAAACTTGTTGCCAGATTCATTCGTGCATTGATGAAAGCGTTGCCAGTTGCTTTTGATTGTCTCCCCTGTAAGCGAAACTCTTGTTTAGGGACTGTT